AGGATTCTGACATTTTCCTGCATGTGAGTGTGCTGATATAAAGCTGCAACAGGCCAACAGCACTCAAGTTTCGGTTTCTCTACACTGATGCTTCCTGGTGTTTGAGAGACAGGAAAAACAGGCGTGTCTGTAAATTCCCAGATAAGAGAAATGTCCACTAGGTGTCAGCCTCATACAGACACTGGGAGCTGGTGCTAAATGGACTGCTAGCACAACCAGTGTTGCCAATTTAGCAATTTTAAAAAATTGATTTGGCAACCTTTAGCAACTTTTGATAAGTGACTCAGACAATAAAAAGGCACACATTTTCCATCCAAATTACACAAAAAGAGGAAACCACAGATGCCTAGCAGTACACACATCACGTGAATTGAGTTAGCTGCTATTTGCAATTGTTCACTTTAATAATAATAATAATTGAATAATTGTTCATTTATGATGCACTTTGTTAGTAGCTTGTACCTGCGATTGTTGATCAGTTAGTATACTGTAAGAAAAATGGAAAATCTTTCAGGACATTATCCATTATCCATCATCCATTGTAACCCTGTAACCCAAACACACAATGCATAATTTAAAATGCAGGAAAAAAACCATTACGGAAAATTCTTTCATATTAACATAGTAGATTGTGCCTTATTTTTACAGACTTTTCTTAGAGTGTAGCATACTAACTAACTACTAACCCACTGCTTAAAGCATATTAGTTGAGAATGTGTAGAATTACTAGTTTACTAGCTATTAAAAAAACTTAAATTGAAATCATTAAAAAAAAAAGTGCACGTTTTCAATAATTCAATGTATTTAAAAATACAGTTATTTATATTTTAATATTATATCATGCATATTATTTTACAAACAAATCTAAATTAACATATATAAAATATATTTTTTGCTGAGATTTGATGATGTGACAATTTTGCGTCGTGATTACGCAATGATGTCACAACTTCATTTAGCAACTTTTAGCAACAAATCGACCTTCCTTCAGCAACTTTCTCTGAAAATTAGTTGGCAACACTGAGCACAACCAAAGAGTTAAGATTTGGCAGGTTAGCAGGGGCGTAGTTGTACAATCTTGAACCAGCACTACATATTAAAATCATTTTTAAAGTAGGCTACTAATGGCCACCTTTACTATAATTTATCACTTTTGATTGTGTAAAATTTAGTCTAACTTTGTGTAGAATTTATAATAAATAATCTGTTAAGGGAATAGATTTTTCCTTACAGATTTATATTACAAAGGCATGTTGTAGCTAAGTCTTATTATAACAAATGCTACAGTTAAGAACTATGGTACATTTTCATGAGAGCAAGTACACGTCAGAATCGAGAGCCATGTGTAAAAAAGGTTCTATGCCTTCAGATATTCCAAGAGATGGCATAGATTCAATCATTAAGAGCCTGACGAACTGTTAGGGAGTATGAAATAAACAACATCAATATAAGAATACGCTAAGTTAGATTGACATGGCATGTTGAATTAGAACATTCTGTCAAACTATAGCCTATAAGTGCTTAAATAATATAAAATACATTATAGATCCTATGTAAACAAGTAATTGGTAACTATGCTGTTACTTTATTGCATTTATGTTGTCAACCAACTTTGCATGTGTAGATGATAGCACAAAAGACCATTTTACAAAAATAAATATATAAGAAAACAAACAAATAAATAAACCTTATGAGGGAGCATTACCCGGGACTCCACTAAACAGTTCTCACTTCAGTAATAAATGACAACTGTACACTGTACGTGACAACAGCTTCTGTGATAGATAGATAGATAGATAGATAGATAGATAGATAGATAGTAAATATTTACCCACCCTTAATGTCCAAATAAAAAGACAGCAAATATTGAAGACAACTTTATAATTATTGCATTGCATTAGAATGAATTACAATTGTTGCGGAATAGACAAATAACAAAACTATTATAATCTGTATTTATCATAAAATAGCATAATCTTAAAACATAAAATACATTTTGAGTGACTTTAATTTTAACATATTTATATTATCTAGAAATTCCACAATATCTATAAAATCTTCCTCAGAAATCCCACAGGTCATTTGTTTCTCGGTTCCCAGCACACATAAACATATTCCCTGAAGCCACACTCAGGCAAATCAGAACTCGACCTCTACTGTAGTAGATGAGTATAACTCTAGCAGTTCTGGTTATTATCGCTAGAGGGCGCTATATACTTATGTATAGTGGAAACCTACCTGATGGTAAAAGAAGCATGTGCTGCTGGACAGTCGGGTCGCTGCTGAAAAACTGTAACATAACAGTTCATTAGTAACTCACTTGAACCCCTCAAAACACTGTTATTGTACATCAGATCACCTCACTGTCATGCTTTTGTTGTTGCATTTGATGACCTCCTGAATCAGACAGTTTCATGCCGTATGTGTAGCAACAAACCGGTGTATAGAAAAGTGTTCCTGTGGGTTTTATTGTCATTTAATTTTTTAAGAAAAAAAATGCCTTTAACCCGGTTGTACCCATAAAATCGTCTAATTTCATGATATGTGACCCTGGAGCACAAAAGCAGTCTTAAGTAGCACAGGCATATTTGTAGCAATAGCCAACAATACATTGTATGGGTCAAAATTATCAATTTTTCTTTTATGCCAAAAATCATTAGGATATTAAGATCATGTTCCATGAAGATATTTAGTAAATCTCCTACCGTAAATACATCAACATTTAATTTTTGATTAGTAATATGCATTGCCAAGAACTTCATTTGGACAACTTTAAAGATGATTTTCTCAATATTTAGATTTTTTTGCATCCTCAGATTCCAGATTTTCAAATAGTTGCATCTCAGCCAAATATTGCCCTCTCCTAACAAACAATGTAAAGCTTATTTATTCAGCCTACGTCTGCAAGATGACTATTCAGAATTGCATTTAAGCATCTGCTTTGTACAAACATCTGATAGACGTCTTTAAGATACATTCTAAATTATAAACATTTTAATGACATTTTCTATTCGACATCTACGTGTGCCATCTGGGAGCCAGTCACATATCGGTTGTGTAAAGCTTCACTTATGACTCAAACAACGAAGCGACTGCAGAACAGTGTCTTTTATTTTAATTTCTAATTTGTGCATCTGAGATATGCTTTCTAGGGTAAATGCGCATCACATGGAATCGGTTTAAAATCACTCCATGAATTAGGCTTCACGCTTTATAGGCATATCGGTGAGCTTCCCGTTACCGGTTGGATCCTTTATTTTGCCGGTATTGAAATCGGTGTGAGAGAGAGCCGAAGAGAGCGATATTTCGGCAGAAACAGTTGGCAGGTGAGACGCTCTTTATCAAAATCGGGTTGGTCTGAGACTCATTGCCTGTCAGTCTTATTAAATGTGAGGAAATTAGAAAAGAACGCATTTTAAGTGCAACCTTTACCTGCACTTGTTTTCGAGACCGCTTTATTAGCTCTGTTATTTAGTCATGCACACTGCATGCCACTGAAGCGTATTTCCATCAAATGAATGTAATTAACTGTATTTAGGAAATACCTTTTAGCACATTACAGTTGAACATCAGGTACTGTATAGCTACTTTTATACGGTCAATAAAGCATACAATACGGACAGGTCATTTGAAATTGGTAACACTTTCGATTAGGGAACACTATCCACTATTAACTAGTTGCTTATTAGCATGCATATTACTAGCACTGGCTGTTTATTAATGCTTATAAAGCGCGTTATTATGCCTTATGACCGTATTTTAGATTTCTTAACCCTATACCTCATACCTAAACATAAGTGCAACAACTGAGTTACTCTTAGTTTATTGAGGGAAAACTGTTAGTTAAAAGCGAATATGTGTTCAGTAATTTAAATAACACACTACAAACGAAAAGCAACTATTTTATTTCATAATCATTGTACTAAAGCATGCTAAGGAATAAACGCAATTCGTTGTGTTTCTACAGTATATATTGACGCTTATTTAAATGCCTTGGTGCACATGTATTTTCCTTAAAATAATACCAAATTAAAACAAAACGTGTTGAGAGCAAAATAAAATCGTGCATGCATGAAACTGTGTATCCATGTGGAGTAAACATTATTTTTAATAACACCGCAGAGTTGACAAGTGTACTTCTGGTTTAATACACTTAGTATGTTTTATCTTTAAATTCGTGCACTTTTTTAACCTTATTTACGTGGGCTACTATTATAAAATTATAAAATTAATAAAACTTTTTTTATAGTTGAAAGTAACATCACGAGCGCTTTTTAAGTGTTAGGCGTGAACGTTTATTGCGATATACATCATTTAAATTAATATTTAATTTGTTAATTATATTTTATTGTATTTATTATTAAATTATATTTGCTCTGTTTTGTATTACTTTGAGGGAAAAATAATCTACACAAAGGCATTTTAAATAAGCTTCAAAATATGCACATATATACATAAATATACTTACAATACAAAGTCTAAGGGCAAAACAACTAACGATGATACATCATTCTTGTGCTTGTTTGGTGTAACGGTAGATGGCGACATTGCACCGCGTTTAACTTGTCAAACTCGGTAAGCACAGGCCTCGAGCTGAGCATTAGGGGTTAAGCTGAGTAACCTCGGCACGCTTGTTGACTTTCTCTATTCATTCTTCTCATTGATAAATCCAATAATCCTCAAATTCATCTAAGAGGTGGCCCCTGCTTTTATTGGACTGTCCCTTATTTAAACTGAACACGTGTAAAATCCTCTTTAGTTTGCACTAATGTCGGGTTTTCAACTACTGGCAAAGACAGCACTGTTTTCTTAACCTTATGAAATGATGGAAATAAAAAGAAAATCGCAAACAGCTCACAAAGGCCTTTTGCGTCACACATCTGCTATTTTCCTAATTATAGTGTGTCTCCAAAACAGCACTGCAGGAAAACCAACTCAAAGAGTGTGAGCAATTCTTAATCGCCACGCACAAACTTTAATTCATTCGTCTAAATGCGCCCTTAGCACACGTAACACGTGTAGGCCTCTGAGGGAAAAAAATACTTACATGTCCCAATTTGAAGGAATAAAAAAAATGATATGATTGTACACTCGCGCGACTCTGGAATCAGCCCTTTCTATAAATACTGTGGTCCCTAATTGTAAATAGTTATCGATGTACAGGCATAATGATTGCGATAAAATGCATTTTTAAAAGCATCAATGAAATTGCTTCGACAATCTGTACTACTTTAATACTTCGAAAAAGGCTAAATTGTTGCACATGATGTCTGCTAAAAATTGTATACTAACTTGATTTGTGTGCTTAAATTGTAATATTTAGGCAGGCTTTTCGTTTTAAACGACATCGCATTACAATGTTTTTAAGACAACAGCAGCTACATTGATTTGTATTTATGGGAACTACACTCTAAAAAATGCTGGGTTGTTTCAACCCAACTTTGGGTCAAATATGCACTAACCCAACTGGGTTAGTTGGGTTTTACATTAATTTTTTAACCCAAAAGTTGAGTTAGTCCATACTTGATCCAAAGTTGCATTGAAACAACCCAGCATTTTTTTTAAAAGAGTATAGCCTACTTAAGTATTCTATAAATGCCTTCTTAGACCTGCTAAACTTTATACAGCAATATCAAATCGAGACACTGTAAAGAGTGTGTGCATTAGCGGCTTCATAGCCTACCTGAGATGTCTGCCGACTCTCTGCCGTTGTGATGCAGATAGCCCTGCTCCAGAGAATAAGGCGGCATACTCGAGTGTAATCCGGAGGAGTTGGGGCTGCTGGAGGCTAGCGGCTGCTGTTTAATGTAAGGAGACACTCCTGATGAAGCCCAATGTGCCGAGGCGGCTCCATACGGCGAATGGCACTCCAGAGAGCCGCTCATGGCCGGCGGAGAGTGCAGCGGACTGTTGCTGTTGTCTGGGCCGTACTCGCCGTTGGAAGCGACTTGGCACGCCGTCATGTATGTAGAACCCGAGCTGGGCGACATGTGTGAGACATGATGGCCTGCTGTACTGAGGCCATCGTAACCCGTGTGAACGCCAGGCACAGGGTTGCTCATCATGTCCAGGTTGTAGCCGTTGGTATGGCAGGCCAGGGACGCGGAGGGCGACTGGAAGTCGAAGTTTTGGGGCAGCATCGAAGCGCCGAAGCCGATGCCGTTCATCATGCGGTACATGGGTTTGAGAGCCTGGCATTTCCTTCGGAAACCACGGGGCCTGCGTCGGAAAGAGCCCTCCTCGAACATGAACTCGCTCCCGGGGTCGATGGTCCAATAGTGGCCTTTGCCCGGCCGCCCGAGGCCTTTGGGAAGTTTGATGAAGCACTCGTTAAGAGACAAATTGTGTCTGACGGAATTTTTCCAGCCTTGGTAGGAACCCCTAAAAAACGGGAAGCGCGCTTGGAGGAACTGATAGATTTCACTCAGCGTTAACCTTTTGGTCGGGGAGCTCTGTATCGCCATGACTATGAGGGCGATATAGGAGTAAGGCGGCTTTTCGGGGCGCCTCACGCCCGAGTTGGACTTTTTGCCCTTGCTGCCGGTCGCAGCTGTGCTCTCCAGCGCTGTCTGTGTGCTCTGAAGCGCCGAGTGCATGGTACTGGATGCCGGGCTGGATCTGATGGGAGCCGGCGTGTCCAGCTGCTGCTGAGAGCTCTCAGTCGTCATTGCTAAGCGGTGTAGCCCAAAGGAAGCTGGACGGGTTTAAAAAGACGGGTTCAGTCTTCAAAGAATAAGAGTCGGGGCTAAAAATACGGGAGAAAACTATGCGTACTCCAAGCAAATCTCTCTTAAAAGCCAGTGTCTCTCCGAGGTCAGTGCGCCACAATTGTGCTCCTGGTTGAAGCCACCAGCTGTGTGTCGCCAGGATAGCGACCCCTCCTTAGTCTCTTGGTGGCCATCGTGAAGACTAATCCTTTAAGAGAAGGAAACTCAATGCTCCGGAGTCCTCTGGCGCAAAGACGTGCGGCCAAACAAAACGCGACCACCTATCAATTCGTAAATCTCTCTCTGCCCCCTAGATCCCCGCTAAATTCCTCCAAGAACTCTCCTCAAACTGCGGAGACCCACCCCTTTTCCATGTCTGGCATGCCTCCAGCTATCGGTCTGGCAGGAGGCTGTGCAGAGTCCGAGGAGAGAGACTCCCCACCTCCCCTCTGACAGCCTAAATACACGCAATAACGCCATTTATCAAGCCTAGCCCGACGTTTCGATCAACAGCGCCACACGCCAAACACCGGGGCGAAGGCTGTCAGAGCTCCAGTAATTAATGGCGTGTTTTGGTGAGAGTTCTGGCACTGGAGGACGTGAGGTTGAAATAGAAACGCACTTCTAGTGTGTGGCACGATGTAACGGCGCGTTTGACCGTCGAGCGAACAACGTGCGAAGCAAGAGTTCATCGCTTCGCCGAGGAGAGAAGAATGCGAGCACGTAAGGCAGTGACCTGGTTGAGCGTCTTGTCAAGTACGCATGATGGGGGTGGGCGAAAAAAGTCCATCTCCAAGTGTATACAAGTTCTTGTAAAGGGCTGTTCTGGATAAATGATTTTGACATGAGTGGAAGCAGGCTTTTTCCATCAGCGGCTGCGCCAGTGCTCGGATGCCACACACAGCGCAGTGTCAGTTTACCGTCCCAGACCCCTATCATCCCCCCTGAGAGAGGGACTAATTAATTGTGGAAAGTGAGCTTAATTGGCCATACGAAAAAATAAAAGAAAGAAAGAAAAAAATCTACAGTGCAACGCAGCATTCGTGATTATCGTGAAAGAAAAACAATAAATGCACAAAGTCACTTGCTTTAATTTTAAATGTTTAACTAAAACCAACGCAACCGTGCATGCAAAATAATAATAATAATAATAATAGTTTTTATGATTGCATAATCAAAGTAGTCGGTTCTATTATTAACGAATTTTGTTTTATTATCATCACACGCGTCAATGATTAGGCCTATTTTAAACAATTCTTAGTGTGTGTATATTTATTTGCTCTGTAAACTAATCGATTGTACTACTGTTTATTGGCCTCTTACAGTTTAAACATTAGGCCTACACAACAGTTGGTCTTTTTTTTATTTGGCTTTGTCATGAATACGCGCACTAAAATATACGAATGCAACGCGAGGGCAATATTCACAGCCGTGCCTCATAGGCAGAAACAAGCAGCCTCACATTTTTATCAAAGACAACAAAAGGATGTGGAGATAAAATCAGCCCTCGTCATAACAATAAAGGTAAAGAAAATAATCGCCACAAAAATTCCCGGCAACATCAAACCCACTATCCCCGCTGCGTTCAGGATGCACGCTTGGCTTAGAAAACGCGTGCGCGGTGCAGAAGGAAAATACGTGAAAGACTTTGAAGGCTTCTCGTTGCGGGGATAATGTTGTTGTACTAGACTGCTGGATCCCTCTACTGTTGCAGGTGACCTTTTGACTAAAGGTGACACATCGATGTCGACTCTCCGAGTGCGCATTTGAAGGCTAAGAGCTGAATAATGGCGATATTAGAGGTTTTTACTCTCCGCGTGACAAGAGGCGCTTCTGGGGACGGATATTTGCAGTTCTGGGCAGAAAATATAAATATTGAATTGCTAAATATATCTGTGTCCGCTCTCGGGGAAACTCTGCGAAGAAAAAAGCAAAGCCCTGAGTTCTCGAGGCGCCTTCGAGTGACCAATGTTGCTCTCCCTCACAAGTCAATTGTTTAAATTGCAATCAAACAAATAAACTGCATGATGATAACAAAGATTACGCTCTTTGGGGAATTACTGACGTGGGTTTTAATTTGCATCTTCATTTTGATATGAAAAATACAAAAAAGGAAAAAAAAATTTGGATACCTATAAAAATGTAATCCACAAGCAGTTATAAAAGAGTACCATTTGACCGTGCGAAATACATTTGATTGCAATATGAAATGTCACATTTTTGCCTGCTGTTGTGCAGTAGATATTGTACATTACATCCTGTAGGTTGCAGTACAGTCTCTCCAGATGACAGAGCCTTTAAACGCCATAAATGGCAACAGGCCTTGTCAGCTTGATTGGTGCTAATGACTTTCTCCTTGACGTCACGTTACACTTCACACGCAGAAGTTGAGGTCGATTGTTTTTCTTCTTCTTCTTTTTAGTTTGGCAGGAGCAAGTGATGTCTAGAAAAAAAATAGTTTACAATAATTCCAGTTTAGATGCAGGAGCCTCACTTTCTGTGTAAGAACTCAAATTGAGCTTGAATAGTTTATCTCGAACTGTAAATCTGAAATGGAAACAAGTTTACATTTATAAGAATCGTTTGAGGCACCTGGTTCAACACACTTAAAACAAACACAAAGGGCAATAAATACACAGACGACAGCTTAAAACAACGCAACCGCTCAGTAGGACGATACAAACAGAATAGCTATTAAATAGTTCACAACTTTCACTCCTTGTCATTCTGCATAAAACGTTCCCGGACGAACTTTACGCAGGCGGATGAAATGTATGTCTTTGTCAAGTCACAAGTGCTCAGAAAGTGCCAAAGTTCCCCACGCGATATTACGACAACAAATAGTCGATCTTGAAGGGGTGAAAGCCCGCGGACGCGTGTGGGATCGACAGGCACTCGGATGTCAGCTGGAACGGGAGAAAGTCCCGTTGGTGACGGCAGCTGATGGCGGGGTCCACCGGGTGTCCAAAGGATCGAAGCGCATGCGTTTGGGGAAGAGCCACAGGGGAGCCCCGCATGACAAATCCCCCGTGCCAGGTGTCGGCTTTGCGTTCCTCTTTCCTGAAAGGACGGCTGAGGATGCTGTCAATGGCGAAGGAGCTTGTAAACTTGGCGCTGGAAGGAGGCGTAACGATAGTGTCCACCGCAGGAGCTTGGCTCGGCTCCTCTGGCTCCTTGCCCAGTTTTTTGCTGATGCGCTTTCTCCTTCGACGAAACACTCCGTCCGCAAAGGTGTACTCGCTCTGCGGGTTCAGCATCCAGTAGTTGTCCTTCCCCCACGGTCTGGAGGGATCCCGCAGCACCTTGAGAAAGCAGTCGTTGAGAGACAGATTGTGGCGCACTGAATTCCTCCAGCCGGTGTAGCTGCCTCGAAAAAACGGGAACTTTTTCATGAGGTAGTCATTGATTTCGGCCAAAGTGAGGCGACCTGAGTTCGAATCCCGGATGGCCATGGCGATCAGAGCGATGTATGAGTACGGAGGCTTGGGTCTCCGGGTGTAGGGCTTGCCTTTGCTCTCTGCGCCCGGAGGAACAGGTGCGGGACTGTGCGCCACGCAGTCTCCATCCGAGCCCAGCTCTTCCTCCGCGGACATCGGCGACGGGATGCTGCCCTCGGCGTCGCTGCAGAGCTCCGCGGGCTTGGAGTCGTAGTGACCCCCGCAGAAAACCTCCAGCTTCATTGGCTGAGCTTGTGACACTTTAACTGTCCAGACGCTTCCGCCGAGTAAGGCTCCTTAAGAAAACACCGGAGAAAGAGAGCTAGAATAGCCACGCGGAGCTGTCAAACACAATCCAACGCGTGAGAGTGACAGGACCTGTACCTGCTGCAGATAAGTGCACTTAACATCCCTAGCGCGCGCTCAGCTGTCTAATATAGGCGCTCACCTCCGGGTATGCCTACAGGGGGCGGGGCCTGCATGTCTTTAAGTCTTAAAATCACTCTTACAAAAACACACGGATCATGCACACCCTGTTTTGAAATAAAGCGGTCGAGCGTATGTGGACAAACATCAGACAGACTCGTGATGAATTGCTTTGTTGGTTTGAGCCGAGTTTCGTCACAGTGAGGCGGCTTCACCTGCGTCCTTGCTCACCTTTGCGCACCACACAGAAGAGTTTCACCTCAGGAAAGCAGGTGGCGTGCGTTTATCAGACATGGCACGCCGCGCAGGAAGAATAGTCCTGAGAAGTATATTTAGACTTAGAACTGGTTTAATCATAATAAGTCGCAACATATTGTAATCACGTACCAACATTTTAGTTGTGTCAATCACATCCCTCATTAGTCATTAACTGCAGTGTGTTACATTTGTTGATGATATTATGCTCAACATTCCTTTGGGTAGAGCATTGAACTGTTTAATTACTGCAAAAGAGGACGTTTTTAAAAACAAAACAGTGATATCATGCCTGTGCAGTTGTTTAGCATCCCATTTATACACTTACAGCATTTATGATGAATGTCATTCATGCAGGTAAATAAAATATATAAAGGATATAAAGGCACAATTCCATGCAGCTTTGAATTTAGAGTATATATTTCTTCTAATTTTCAAGCTCGAGTTAGGTTGCATCAAATATTTTAGTCATTAAACACTGAATGGACACATTTTGACCTGTGTCACATGTCTAATGCAGTAAAAACAACTTATGTTACTCAAACAAGCAGAATGTGCTTTAGAATTATGCTTTAAACATGCATTATGCAAACATGTGTAATAGTTTCTTTTATGTGTTTTGAACACTCAAGTGGTGTCAGAATGCCTTTAAGACTATAAATCACACTCTAAAAAATGCTAGGTTAAAAAGGGACAAACCCAGCTATTGGGTTGTTTTGACCCAGCGGTTGGATTCAAAACAACCCAACTGCTGGGTCAAAACAACCCAACTGCTGTGCAAAAACAACCCAACTGCTGGGTCAAAACAACCCAACTGCTTGGTCAAAACAACCTAACTGCTGGGTCAAAACAACCCAACCGCTGGGTCAAAACAACCCAACTGCTGGGTCAAAACAACCTAACTGCTTGGTCAAAACAACCCAACCGCTGTGTCAAAACAACCCAACTGCTGTGTCAAAACAACCCAACTGCTGGGTCAAACCAACCTAACTGCTGGGTCAAAACAACCCAACCGCTGGGTCAAAACAACCCAACCGCTGGGTCAAAACAACCCAA